TTTACTCAGGCCGATGACATTTTTTGTATGAGATTTAAAATTCTTTTTAGAATAATTGTACATAAATTGGTTAAGCAAAACAATTGTGATTATTTCTGATAACTTTTTAACTTAGGCTACATTATGGTACAGTACAAATATTTGGAACGTCCCTTATTCTGTCCCTTATTTTCTACAATAATAAACACTATTTTCTTAAAGAGTAAGATAAAGAATCACAATTGTCCCTTATTTTCCATTTCTTATGTTAATTGGCAATGATGACGTAATTATCTTTTGACTCCCCTGACAGCGGAACCTTGCTCAAAAAAAAAAAAAAGTCATTGTTGGAGATATGCGAGCAAAAACATAATAGATAAAAAAAATGTATAATAGAAAGCGTAAAGGCGGCACTGAAAAGGCCAGTAAAAAAAAAAAACAACAACAACAAAGTGGGCCGGTCTAAGGCATGAAACTCCAGGGCTGAAAATGAGTCCCACTCCGGCCCTGTGTGCAGTTAATTTCATTTTCCAGCTTAATTCAGTTTTTTAATTCAGATTTTGTTCTCAAAGCTTGTGTTTTTCTTAAAACGCTTATTTGAGATATTCCTTAAATATGTGTATTATTTGACCTGTACTTTTCTAGGTATTACATTTCTGGTATTCTTGCGCATTTCATGTGAAAGTTACTGTGATTACCAGCTTTACACGATTAGCAGGAGTTTGGATAGATATTTACCAGATAATGGTAAGTGGTTCTATAATACGAAGTATATGCTGTAAATATTGTTAATATTGTGTTCCTAGATGGGTTTTTTAAAATCTCGGTTTCAGCTAAAAATCATCTTTAATGTTCTACTGAAGAACAAAAGTCACCTACATCTCTGATGTCCTGAGGGTGAGTAAATTAACAGCAAATCTTCCGTTTTGGGTGAACTATCCATTTAAGATTTACCTATTTGTTATGTGCTTTTTTCATTTTTATGATTATTTTTTTTAAATATTATTATTTATGTTTTATTTATGTTTCACTGTAGTATTGTTCAGTTTTAGCTTGTATTTTTTCATTTAGTAATTTTAGTGCTTCAACTTAAATTTACTTGAATTTAATACACAGTTCAAGCGTGACTGAACTGACTTCCCTAAAGAAGCCCACAATCGTTTCAGTAAATATCATATTTCTTACCACATGAATGTGTGTGAACTGGTGCAGAAGTGTTTATATGATTAAACAGGGACAGTAGATTGGTTAAGTGGTTAAACTACTAAATCTAAGAATGTCGAATGATCCTGAAATCATAGTAAAATCACTGCACTTCATTATATGATGCTACTAAGGAATATAGTGTTATCAATTTACAGCTCTCTCTGGTATCATCCCTGTCTATTATGTATTCATACTTTCCCATTTTGTCTTTTTACACACACGCACACGCACACACACACACAGTGTGTAAGTGGAGACATTTGTTGCGGCGTCTCCTGCTGTGGGCAGCATCCTGTTCACTGAAGAGTTTATCATATTTAAAAACAGATTTACACCCAAACGAGAAGCAAATTGTTTCTTTGAGATGAGAGGCAGAAACATGCAATGATTGTTCATCAGTAATTGTGAGACAGAAAGGATGTCGTGTCGTGGACATCCGGCCTGTTAAAGATGAAGAGACTGGCGTGCATGAGTTTGAATCGGGGTCGGAAATGAACGGGGGGCTTGTGGCAAAATGGTGCATGCGCTGAAGTTTCTGACCCTGGTTTGAATCTTGTTTCAAGAATGATTACTGGAAACCAGAGCAAAAATGCTCATTTTCTCAGTGTTGTCTTTAATCAAAGAGCTGAATGGAATCACTCCAGTGTTTTTTCAGAGGAAGCCTCCCTGATTTCCTCCTGAGAATTGGCCGTTCTGGTTCAGACAGTCCATTGGTTCAGGCTGAATGACCTGTCGTCTCTCATTCGCTGGGCCTTCATTCTGTCCCGCTGAACCTCTGCTGTCTCTGCTGATCGTCTGCTGAAGTGACAGCGCACACAGAGCTAACCAGAGCACTGACAAACCCGAATAACTCAGTGCTGAATATCACGGATCGCTGGCCCGCGCTCAGAGGAAATATACGGGAATCACGGGGAGGTTTTGTCGCTGAGGAAAGAGGAAACCGTGATTGTTGAGGAGGAACTTCAGGACTGTGATTTTGTTCAAAGTGAGCAGAGCTGAGCTCATCTGAAGCGTCGTTATCGTTATCCTGTGATTGTAATGGCTATATATGGAAGCCCTTTTACACAGCGTAAGAAAAAAATCATGCTTTGGTTAGTCATAATTATGAGATAAAAGTCTAAATTATGAAATACTAAGTCATAATAATAATGAAGTCAAAATTATGATGTAAAAAAATGACATACTAAGTCATAATTATTTATAGGATTAAACAATTCTAAATTATGATATAAATAGTCATCGTTTTGCTTTTTTATCTCATAATTTTGACGTTTAATGTCATAATTTGAACTTTTTATCTCATAATTATGACTTTGTCCTAATTTTGACTTGATTTCATATTACCTAGTATGTCATAATTTCGACTTTTCTTGTCATAAAGTCATAATTTTTACTTACCAATGTCTTGTCATAATTTCAACTTTATGAGTTCTTTTTATCTCATAATTATTTTCTTAGTGAGTCATAATTATGACTTTAAATGTCATAATTATGACACACTAATTGACATAAGAAGTCATAATTAGGACATACTAAGTCAAAATTGACAAACTAAGTCATAATTATGAGATAAAAAGTTGAAATTATGACATATTAAGTTGAAATTAAGACAGACTGTAATTAGTCAAAATTATGACTTTAAAAGTCAAAATTGACTTACTAAGTCATAATTATCTGAATAAAAATAAAATAAAAATAAAACTTACGCTATAAATAGACTTTTTTGCATTTTTATATATATATATATTTATTTTTTATTTTTTTTTACTTGTTTTTTTAATCTCACATGACTTAGTATGAAATAATTACATTTACATTACAAAAATTTCAGCTTGCCAAAGTATGTTCTTTTGGAAGCTTGTTTCTGCCACAGAATAAAACAAATACAAAAGTTAAAAGTTAAGAATAAAAAAAATGTAAAATTCTGACTTTTTTCCCTGCGACCGTGAGTTTATAGTTTTTTATTCCTTTATATCAAGTCAGAAACGACAGTTATGCTCACTGTGCATGCACTGAAGAACAGTTGATCACGGCACTAGCAACACCAAGGGCAGGGGTTCGATTCCCAGGGAATGCATTAACTCATAAAAATGAATGCAGTGTAAGTCGCTTTGGATAAAATCGTCTGCAAAATGCATGAATGTGAATGTCATGGACAGAAGTGATTCGACGTGCTTTACACCAGAATGAAAAATGAAAAACACAGACGTAAAAAATCAAGTTAAGATCATAGGTTAATTAAAAACGGATTAAATGACAGGATAAAAAGGGAAGAAAAAGAGAGATGTTGCCAAATAACTCATGTGTGCGCAGGTGATAAAAATCCATTTTGCATTTCATCCTCGAGTGAAGAGACGCCGATGAACGGCCGTCCCAGAATTCCTCCTGTATAAAGACCATTAACATCACATTATGCAGATGGTAACAGTCAGATGCATGTCGAGGGCTAAAGGCCAACCGCAGCACATTTAGCAGTCTGACTTTCGTCTGCCCTGTGAAGGGTGTTTTCAATTAGATTCCAGCTAATTTCATTCACACCTTCATTCACCTGCTGGAAATGTGTCTTTCTGAGCCCAAGCGCATAGCTCTGTGTTCCAGAACTGTGCTTTAATTGTCATATATACAGTGGGTACGGAAAGTATTCAGACCCCCTTAAATTTTTCACTCTTTGTTATATTGCAGCCATTTGCTA